AGTTAAGGTTGCAAAATTCTTAGAAATATATACTTTAAAAGAATGAAATTTTATGGCTGCAAATCTGACTTAAAAATAATAATTCCCGGGTGGGGAGGGAGGCTTGGAAGGGATGGGAAACAAAGGAGGAGGCTACAATGCTTGATAACAAATGTACTCATTATCTTGCCCATGTAATTGTAACCCTTCTGTACAGTTTTTTCACAATAATAATAATAATAATTCCCCTCCCCAAATAAACATTTATGGCAATGTTGGCATCATTGGCTAGTTTTACCTTCCCTTTGAGACTTTGTAATGGACTCTATCCTCAAGAAACCTGTTCCTGTTTACTTTGTCCCCTATTCCTTCCTTCCTTCCTTCCTTCTTTCCTTCCTTCCTTCCTTCCTTCCTTCCTTCCTTCCTTCCTTCCTTCTTTCCTTCCTTCCTTCGTTCCTTCGTTCCTTCCTCCTTTCCTCCCTTTCTTTTCTTGCAGGACTAGAGTTTGAACTCAGGGTCTTACTCTTGCTTGGCTCACTTGCTTAGCTGTCAATCTATCACTTGAGCCATGCCTCTAGTTAGGTATTTTGCTATTAACCGAAGATGGAGTATTGTAGACTTTTTGCCTGGGCTGGGTTTGGACCATAATCCTCCAGATCTAGCCTCTTTGAGTAGCTAAAATTAGAAATGTGAGTCTCAGTATCCTGGCTCTAGGACCCTTTAAAAATGACATGTTGGAAGTGGCGCTGTAGCTCAAGTGGTAGAGCGCTCGCCTTGAGCGCTCAGGCCCAGAGTTCAAGTCCCACGACCGACAAAAAAAAAAAAAAATGACATCTTAAAGATTAATTTCTCAGTATGCTGTAACTAGTAACTTAATAATTTTTAAAGTAAATACGCTACATGTACATAAATGTAAGAGATTAAGTAAATATGTATATGGCACTTAACTGTACCAGCCAGGAAAAGTAACTTAAGACTCCACAGGCTGAATGGATTCTTAATGACCAAGTAACAAAAGTCTCCTATTTGCAGCCACATCACAATGATCAAGAGAGGCAGAGACACTTGGCAATGTCCTGAGTAGCCAAACAAAAATCTACAGAGACACTGCCCTTCCTTTCCTTTTCTTCCCTCCTTTCCCTCCCTCTCCTTATCCCTCCTCTCCACCTCCAGCTCAGAGAATGGGAGCAGAGTGAAAAATGTCAGGATTCAGCTTTAACACGGCTGACTTCTGCTTTCTGCCTTCAGGCTCAAGGGTTGGTATGATAAAAAAAAAAATGACATTAGGTCCAAGAAATATGAGTTGTAAGGAAAGGTGAGCCATGTTTTTCTAACACCAATAGACTGTGTGCCTGGCCCAAAGCAGACCTACACGCTGACTTCCCAGCTTGTCTGTGAAAGTATAAGAGGACCCAGTAGCAGCACTTGATGCCTGAACTCTGAAGCTAAGTCCTCTTGCTTCAGCCTCGGCAGAAGTTCTCTGATTCACCACAGCCCTCCCTGTTACCCCATCCTCTCCAACATTTGGCCTGTCTCTCTCCTTTTTGGTACCTGGCAGGCGGCTGAATGAGGGACCCCCAAAACATGTGATAACCCAATACATTTTCTTCTTTTTTTCATTTCTAACCAAAAGCAATCTAGGTTCACAGCCAACTACTCAACAAAAGTAAGTTCAAATGACTTCTTTAAGCAGAAACATTAAAAATGCTACCAGAGCAAGAAGAAAGGAAGGTACTTACTGCACCACAGCTTGACCTCGAGTCAAACCTTTAATTTTCAAATAGTGCTCGATCACTCTGTCCTCACTGTAAAGCAGAGATATTAGACGTAAGATGACATATGATATTATCAAAGGTGACACATGCTTTATTTTGTTTTGCAAGGTGACATGATTTTCACAGGAGACACATGCTTTTCTGAGACCAAATTCTATTTTCTGCTTCTCTGGCCCTGCCTGGAAGCTTGGGTGGGCAAACCTTCAGCAACACAGTTAGAAGCCATGTTGTTTCCCTACCATAGAGATACCTGCACCCTGTCACGTGATCAATTCCATTAGGATCTTGTTGTTGTTGGTGGTGGTTGTGGGGCTTGAACTTGAGGCCTGGGCACTGTCCTTGAGCCTCTTCATGTTCAAGGTTAGCGGTGTATCACGTTCAGCCACAGCACCACTTCTGGCTTTTTTGAGTGGTTAATTGGAGACAAAAGTCTCACAGGGACTTTTCTGCCAGGCTGGCTTTGAACCAACATCCTCAGATGTCAGCCTCCTGAGTAGCTAGGATGACAGACGTGAGCCACAGGCACCTGGCTTCCATTAGGATCTTTATCTTTGAGTGTTGTTTTTTTTAAATATGGATTCCTACTTTCAAAACTGTCATTTCCAAGAGAAGGAAAATGAGATCAACTTTTCAATGGGAAGTGAATTTTTCATGGAATTTAATAAAATTGAGTACTTGCCTAGCAAGCTAGAGGCCCTGAGTTTAATCCCTAGAATCACCAAGATGGAATTGGGGGGAAAAGATGGAAAATGAGTACTATGTATATTAAAATGCGAACTAGAACAACTCAGTAAAGGAAGCTCTGACCAAGAGGTCTGTATTTCCTAATACGTGGGCCACACAAGACTAAGGCAGTGCCACACACAGTGATAGCACATATTTGAGCATGTGCTCACCTAGACGTACACTCCACAGACAAGGGACTCTGCAAACAACTCAAGACATGTGTTCTAGCATCACTCCCATTCAGTGGCATTTGATGAGACCCTCTCAGTGCAAGAATCGAGTCTCCCCTACAGCAGCTGTGATACACAGGATGGATAGGGTTGCTCTTTCTCTCACCTAGGGCTTTCGATTTCCTAACAAACACACATGGGAAATGAATGGAGCCGATGGAGGCTGATGGAGGCCTGGCCAGGAGTTCTGTTGGCTTACCAGTAAGCAAGTGAGGGATGCTCCTGGAGGGTTTTGGTAGGAAAGACTGGCAGTGTCTTCAAATCTTTCCTGGCATTTTCATCACTAAAAGAAACACAACATGGTAATGTCAGATAGTGTTCTCTAAAATGTCATCCAAGTTGGTCACCAAGGGAATGAGACCTAAAGAAGTAATCACAGTACCTTGGGCTCTTGCAACATACTATAGTCACTTAGAAGCTAGTGTTCCAGCTAGTAACAGCTCTGGAATTTTGGATAACCAAGTCAAAGGATGATCCTTTGATGTTTATAGTATTTTCTGCATGGACCTATTTTATTAGCTAATGATCAGAATTGTGCATTTTTAACTGTATTTTTCCACAGCCTTCTTTACAATCCATTGTGTACCTCTTCACATTCCTATAGTGTCCTCCTCATTATGTTTAGTGGCTGTGAAATAGTCACCAGATTGGAATTCTAGTATCACAATCCCATTCTATGGAACTCCCTGCAATAGAACAAGACTGGAAAATGGGTTTCTAGTAAACTCAAAAGTATCTCTCAAATGACACCACATGTACCAAAAGGTACCTTAGCCATTCTCTAATTACAAAATAATAAAATCCCAGTTGCCAAGAGAAAGGTGTGATCTTTGTGAAAGTTAAAAAAGGGTGGACAGGGTGGGGACCTGAGGCTCATTCCTATAATCTTAGCTACTCAGGAGGATGAGATCTGAGGATCTTGGTTTAGAAATCAGCCTAGTAGAAAAATCCAAGAGATTTATCTCCAATTAAAAGTTAAAAAGCCAGAAGTGGCAAAGTGCCAGCCTTGAGTGAAAAAACAAAAACAAAACAAAACTAAGCAAGAGCACAAGGCCCTGAGTTCAAACAAAAAAAGAAATAAGCATTGAGAGACATTTGCCCGGTGCCGGTGGCTCATGCCTGTAATCCTGACTATTCAGGAGGCTGAGATCTAGGACCACAGTTCAAACCTAGCCTAGGAAGAAAATCCATGAAACTCTCATCTTCAATTAACCATCAGAAAACTAGAAGTGGTGCTGTCACTCAAAGAAGTAGAGTGGTAGGCCTTGAATGAAAAAACTCAGGGACAGCACCCAGGCCTGAGTTGAAGCCCCAGGACTGACCATAAATAAATAAGTAAATAAATAAATAAAATGCCATTTATGGCTGCTCTTGCAAGGATGATACAAAATACTCTTTCACTGTCCCAAGTTTTTTTTTTTTTTTTTTTTGCTTTTGTTTTATTTGGTTGGTCCTGGGACTTGAACTCTAGGTCTAGGTACTGTCCCTGAGCTCCTTTGCTCAAGGCTAGTACTCTACCACTTAGAGCCACAGCTCCACATCTGGTTTTCTGGTGGTTAACTGGAGATAAGGGTTTCAAGGACTTTCCTGCCAGGGCTGGCTTTGAACCATGATCCTAGATCTCAGTTTCCTGAGTAGCTAGGATTATAGTCATCAGTGCCCAGCTGCCTGAAGTATTTAAGGAGCTGGTCTATGGAGAAACAAACATGACTCTAAGGTCTGTTCACCCACAGTTTAGTGCCAACTCTTCCTCTCCTTATCTCCCACTGCATCCTATTATCAACCACTGGCTTCTCTATGTTGGAAAGTATCTGAGTACCAGGCAGTCTGTGGCATATTTATGGGCATTATTTTCCTCATCACAAGCCTTCCCTGTGTAACACATTACTATTACCAGTGCTTTTCTGGAAAGTGTGAGGTTTAGAGAGATGAACACACTTGCTCCATTTTTTAAATTCCTCTGTAGCAACTGGGGTTTGATATCAGGGCCTTGTGTTTGCCAGGAAGGCACTCTATCACTGAGTCATGGCTTTGTGCTGATTAATTTTGAGATAGGGTCTTGCTTCCTGCCTGGGTGAGTGCCTAGTCTGCTATTCTTCTATATTAAGCTTTTCATCCTAGCTGGGATGACAGGCGAATGCAACCATGCCTAGCACCTTTCTGTTAAGATGGAGTCTCATAGTCCTTTTTTGCCCTGACTGGCCTAGAACTACGATTCTCCTATATAGCTTCGGATGAGGTTCCACAGAGCCCAGCTATAAGCTGGAAAGGGGGATATCATAAACTTCTTTGCCTTGGGTGGCCTCAGACCACAATCTTCCCATTCTTAGCCACTCAAGTAGCCAACGTGACAGATGTGAGCTAACAGCCTTGAGCTCAAGTTCTACCTTCTGATTGTCAGAATCCCAGGGTCGGACCATTTTTGCCTTTCATCCCCTTTCCCAGCTACCAAAGAAAATGCTGATAAGATTTGAATCCATCACTTGTGTGTCTTTACATTCACTTTCCTGAGTTTGCTCCAATGTGAATCATGATACCAAAGCTGATGAACCAAGTAGAGGACTGAACTTGAACCCAAATTGAATTTCCTTCCAAAGCAAAGCACTCAGCCCTCACCAATCAATTGTTACACCCAGATCTAACTGGGGATATAGGCACATGGCCTCCAAATAGGTTTGGCCCACATACTGCTGGGCAGGTTTAGAGATTGCTCTTTCCTATTCTGCTGTTTAACTGCTCCTCCTCCAGTAGCTACAGAAAGTTTGTTTTCTGGTTCTATCAACTTGTCTCCTGACAAGCTGCAGCCCAGCAAAAGTGAACCCACTGAGCAGATGTTACATAAACTTCCTGTCTTTTTATAAGAAGAGATAGTGAGACTTTCTGCCTAGCTTGGGGCCACTGTGATTTGCACCCATTGATGTTACATTTCGAAACCAGGGTGGTAGCTCTTCTTAAAGATGAAAGATCTTGCTTTCTAAATATTACAGGAAATAAAAGTCACTTGGCTCCTGTACTTACATAAGAATAAATCTCTCTATTCATTTGAAATCTGAGTGGTGCAGCTTAATCATGCTGACAGTCTTGGGAAACTGGTTTGGGCTTCCGGAAAATCAAAATATTACAATCCAACTTATTCATATTAAAGGTCAACTGTCAACTCCCAGAATTAACATTTATTTTTCTTGATTTCTTTGATGCTTTGCTTTTCAAAGCCTACTGATTCCCCGTCCCCCCTCCCCCAATGTTTGGGATTGAACTCGAGAGTCTCATACACGCCAGGTAAGTGCTCTATCACAAGCTATATCACTAGCCCTTCTCTCTCTCTAGCACTGAAGAAAGAATTCAGTGCCTGGCACTTACTAAGTAGGTGCTCTACCACTTGAGCCAGGCTTCCAGCCCAGCCCTTTTTGCTTTGTCTTTCAAATAATGTCTCACATTTTTGTCTGAGGGTAGGGTCTGGAACTTGATTCATCCCACAGAGCTGGGATGACAGGTACATGCCACAAGGCCTAGTTTATTGCCTGAAGTGGAAACTTACTAACTTTTTGCCTGGGCTGACCTGTTCTTTTCTGCTTCCTAAGTAGCTGGTATTATTTGAAGGAGCCATTGCACCCTGCTTTTTCATTTTAATTTTTTCTACTAAGGTATCTATTTATCTATCCATCTATCATCTATGTATTTTTTTAAAAGAATAAAGTTTAGAAGAACATTCTTTGCAATGAGACAAAAAAGGAAAACACCAAATATCCCATAGCAGGAGAAATAATAAAACTGTAGTGAATTCACATGGCAGAATACCAGGCATTAAGAACAGATGATAGCTACATATGACATGGATGAAGCTCACAAATACTGAGCCAAAAAGCAAGACCCTAGATAAATATCCCACAGTGGGCTAAGGTGGTACTTGCCTGTAATCTCAGCTCTGGAGAGGCACAGGCAGGGGTTTGAGGCCAGCTTTTAAAAGGGAGTTCTAGCCCAGCCTAGGCTACAGATTAAGATCCTGTATCTGGATTCAAAACAAGAAAGAAAGAAAGAAAGAAAGAAAGAAAGAAAGAAAGAAAGAAAGAAAGAAAGAAAGAAAGGAAGGAAGGAAGGAAAAGAAAGAAAGAAAGAAGGAGATAGGAAGAAAGAAGGAGATAGAAAGAGAACAAAAGAAAGAGAGAAGGAAGGAAGGAAAGAAGGAAGGAAGGAAGGAAGGAAGGAAGGAAGGAAGGAAGGAAGGAAGGAAGGAAGGAAGGGCAATGAAAACAAGAAAATATGTAGCATAGTCAGACTATCTCTGAGGACAGAAAAGCCATTGTACTAGCATGGGAAAGGCATACATGAAACACAATGGCAGCGGTGGTGGCCAGGCTAAAGCCCTGGCCACATTCCTCTGGGCTGTGCACATTATCTCTGTTGTTCCTTCTCACTGTACGTACATGTTACAAACTTTCCAACGTACTGACCACCAAGCGAATCCATCAGAGTTGTTTGTAACACTGGCACATCATCCCAGAGGGTTAATTCCCATCATTCTTAGAGCTTAGGACCAAACAGAATTTCACGTTTCAGTGGATAGCCAGTAGCTGAGTGATTATCTGTTCTTCCTCCTGGGGAATTTGCCCGGAAGCCTGAGCCTGATGAGATCCACGGAGTTTGCAGAGACAGCCAGGCCTGGTTTTAGCACCCTCCCTTCCCCCAGATGGCGGGACAGGCAGGATGGTTTATATGAATCAGGATCAACCTCAGAGGCCAGAGGGAGGGCTCCAGAGCAGCTGGGAGGTGAGTGGGTCTCCATCGGGGATGTCTCTGCCTTTCACTAGCAATAAATACACTCCTCCTGTCTGGACATTCCTGACCCCAGTGGCAAGGCATATGTTATTGCAAAGACACACTTGACCAGATTGCCAGGGGAGACGGTGTTCTCCAGGCCGTAGCCAGAGAGAATGCCCATAAATCTCCATCCCTTGTTACTTAGGGAACCAAAACAGCAACTGCTTCTCTCCATCACCTCAGCAGGAATTCAGACGTTAACCTAAGAGCTTGCCTGCATTTTACCTGATTTCCCAGGCAGAGCTCTGCCCTTAGGCCTTCTGGAAAGAAGCAACCCTGACCCTGCATTCAGCCACTGCAACTATACTTTCAGGCGTTGATTCCTTTGGTCTTTCTCAAGCGCCCTACCATAGGCTGTGTTTGTCTTCACTGACCTCCAAAGCCCTAAAGGAATGTGCCATCCCCACCCATTCTGGGGAAAGCCACATGGTTGGCCACACCAAAGCCACCCTTTATGTACGCTAG